ACTTGCTGGCACGTACAATTTTCGAAAATATTTGCCTTGCTCTTTTCTCCATAAATTAACTTTTATTCATAGGCAAAATTGGTCTTGCGAGAAAATTCCGAAATCACAAAACAGTACAAAGCGACCTCGTTTTCCTCTGTAAGGGTAAACATAACTTCAAGCGTACAAAACGTCAGCTACAGTAAAACACTGCACAATAAATCACGTTAAACTTAACACCATGAAGTCTTTTCTTGCCTTCAAAGTCATCAGCACTTGGATATTCGTGTATTTTCAAAAAGGCTTTACTATGAAACTTTGGCAAAACACCCAGTTAACGACAGCGATTTTGTTCTGCTTTATATTCACCGCCTAGCGCGGTGAATATTTAACAATTATTTCTCCAGCCCGAAAGGGTTCTGAGTCAATAGCCCATGCGGCCGAAGGCCGTATAGGTCACTGACTCAGACGCCATGAGGGCGAGAGGAATAATATTTTTAGTAAAATCCAAATAGTTGGTCAAAAATATCGAGAATAAATTTATTTTAGCTCAGTAAAGCCAGACTTTAATCCTTTTTTGCCGCCAAAAAGTCGGCGCTTTTCGCTACTAGTGGGCTATAACATATAGCCAAGTAGTAGCTCAACCAATCAGAATGCAGCATTGATAATAGACCACTAGTTAGATTTTACTAAAACGTCATAGCCCGAGATAGCTAACCAATCAGATTGCTTGAATTACCAATATCACTGAGTTTGTATATACTAATCAACAATATTAACTTCGCCTTCGGCGAATAATTGTTAAATGTTAAGAGAGTTTTTGCACCATGTGATCAGTACAAATTACTGTCACTTATTGAGGCCACAGCATTCTACCGATCAGCATGGATCGGACGGGGGTGGGGTGGTGGTACCCTACCGAAAGCAGAATAGGTTCTTTCCATTCGATAAGTGGAATGGAGTTAGAAGAGCACGACAGTGAAGACATCTGTTTCGCACCGCCTGCTTCGCATATCGAAAAAATTCTAAGAAAAGACCTTCATGGATGGATGTTTGACGACTGGGTAATAGGTTTGAGGGAAGATAGACCAATAGACAATAGACCATATCCGAGTTTCGAAAACTCTCTCTTTCAAAAAGAAGCTAGGTGCTTTCAGATAGTTATAGGGACTTTACGAAATAAAGGATCGCAAAAACGAGAAATTAAGACGTGCGTGATTTGAGAATAACCCTAATCCTCGCTTCCTCCAGCCCCCACACCAGCGCCAGGTTTCTCTATTCGCTGTTCTCCTAGCTATCTCGGAACCTGAAACAGGTTAGTCTCTCATTTGAGGCGATCCATTCTTTTAGCTCTTTTAGTAAATTCAGTTTATTGGGTTTAATAAACACTCACAAGCGCTACACAGCTGTATTCCTTTAAAAGGTACAACTAACCTAGTATCGACCTTAGCATCCAACATTACTAGCCCCCTTGCCCTGTTACCAGACGTCTCTCTCTCTCTCTCTCTCTCTCCCTCGATGTAAATTTGCGAGCAAATGAAATGAAATGACCAAATTGTAAGTTCACTTGGGAACGGGAACGGCAAGGCGATAAATTCTACCATCTCTGTCCGAACTTGAGCGCGTTCCCCTCTCTTCAGCTCCAGCCAAAATCCCCTTCTTTTAAGTAACAGGGCGAATTGGGATAATCGCGAAAAAGTTTAAAATGATGGGAAGTCTGTTTTTCAGCGACGCTTTCATGGACGTCGCCGTTGTCGGATCGTAAGGTCTCTTTTATTGGGGGCACGGAACAAGGATGTCAGCGCTGCTTCGCAGACGTTACTAACCCAAGGTAAATTACGTCTGCGACTCAGGCTACTTTGTTTTCGACTAAAGTACAAAAAACGCAGCGCCTGAGGAGGAGGAGACAGACCAGACTCGCCCTGCGAAAGAACGCTACAAAGGTAGTCTGTGACTAACCTACTATGAAAGGTCTCAACATTGATGGAGGAGATGACGGAGAGGAAATAAAGTGATACTTTAGATGCAAAACCAGACGAGCTACAAATGTTTGCCCAAGTTCGTCCAGATGGATGATGCGTCCTTGGTATAAAACGGCCAATGTTGTAAAGCGGATTTTTGGCCGGTTCGTAGGTTTTTCTTGAAATTTCAAGATGTTACAGTAAATCAATCTTAATATACTATGAATCTTGAATATATGTTATTATTAAAAACTGAATCATTGGATAATGCAATTCTAGCATTTTGATTGGCTTAGCCGTTATGGTATATGAGCTATTATACCATGCTGTCAATATATGGTCGGTGTACGCGCCAGTTTAAAATTGGAAGCTAGCGGAGATTTTTTTTTGCGAAGGATAGAACGGCTCCCGAGGCAAATCGTTTTAATTCATTTCTTAGAATACTACAAATGCAAGGCGGTGAATATATAGCAGAACTGTGGTGAACTGGGTGTTTTGCCAAAGTTTCATAGTAAAGCCTTTTTGAAAATACAAGAATATTCAAGTGCTGACTTTGAAGGCAAGAAAAGACTTCACGGTGTTAAACAGCGTGATTTATTGTGAAGTGGTTTACTGTAGCTGACTTTTTGTACGCTCGAAGCTATGTTTACGACTACAGAGGAAAACGAGGTCGCTTAGTCACTGTTTTGTGATTTCGGGATTTTCTCGCAAGAAAAATTTTGCCTATGAATAGAAGTTAATTTATGGAGAAAAGAGGAAGGCAAATATTTTCGAAAATTTTACGTGCCAGCAAGTAAACAAGGCAAAGAACATTGGAGATAAACAACGCTCACCTTGATCGCAACCGCTGTTGTCATGATGATTCTGTTAGCTTTTCTTTCTTGTTTCCCTGTTTTTTTCTTCGTTAAGGACCAAATAGCTTCTTTTTAATTAAAACAAATCATTCATGTTTTTGAACTAAGTGTTCCGCGTGTGTGTTTATTTCATTGCGTGATTGCGACCGAGTTTGATTATAGAATTTAGTACAACCAGTTCAGAGTTGTACTGCATGCAGTTGATAGTTTGAACGTTAAAGATCAATTACGATAGAAAAAATAAAGCAGTTCGGTATCATGCAGACATTTCCAAATCATATTTCTCGGTTTGCCACTTGAAAATCGTGTTTTACTTTTTGCATGAATTAAAGCAAAGGTCAAGGAGTAGTGACGTCACTAGACGGCATTAACGGTCGGTCGATGCAGACGTTACTGAGGGAGTAATAACGACTCGAAGTAATCGGATGAAATTCACGCTATAAGATAGGTGACTACGGTCGCCTGGGACGGTTAGATAGATGTCACGTCACGCAAAACACGCGTGACCTTTTACCGTCGTCCTTCTGGGATGGTATGTTTTCGCCGGGTTTCTCGTCGTGAAGACAACGGTGAAACCGATAACAGTTCATTCATACTAATTGTCACTTTTCTTCTAAAACTGAGTACCCAATGGGTTAAATATGCGTTGGCTTGTGTTTACATTGATTTACCTATCGGTGAAATGAAAAAAAAAAGCGAAAATGTCTGAGTTCATTCATAACTTAGCTCGCGGCCGCATGGCGACTGCTTGTTTTCTACCTAGTGTCGTCCGCCATGGCAGAGGAAAATTGCCGAAAAGAAAGGTAAGGCCCAGTTCAAACGTTAATCTTTTCATGTACCGAACTTAATACCTATTTAGGTCGACCCAAATGGTTCGAGGTTGATTCAGGCGTCGAACTTAAAGTGTAGTCGAACTCGATTCATTTTCACGATGTTCAATGGTCTAGAATGCTTTAAACAAGTGAAAATAAATTTTAGTAATTTGTGCTTTAGTTTCGGCACATGAGAAGTTCGACGTTTCAACTGGGCCTAACAGTGATGATTGTAGCCGTCTTTGTTTTAACTTAAAACTGTATTTATATCAAGAAAAGATTTCTTTGTAACTCAAAAGGTGTTGGCTTAGGAAAGAAAAGTTCAAATAAGAACATCGACAACAGTTTTGAAAACTAGCTAGCTTTAATTTGTACCCTTATTCCTCTGATTGGTATTCTTCGTATAAAATAAGAGACTCTTCTTCAGTAATTGAGCCTTCTGCGAAAGAAATGACAAGCGACTTTCGCACATGACTTCACCGTCCTCTGTTTTGTTGTCCAATCTTAAATTGAAAATTTTCGCGGCTTCTTATCGTCATGGCCCCAGGCCGCCCGTATACGCATCCAACCGTCCCAGCCTACCGTGGTGACCTATCTTAAAGTCCCTATTCACGGTGAGTTGACAGAAACAAATAAAGTTCAACTTTTCTTCTCAGAATTGGGTAGTAATTTAAATTTTCGGCGTTTTCTTTTAAACCGTTGATGCTAAAGCTTACAAAACTCGATACAAAAAGATTAAAACTATCATTTGCCATGTTTGAAGATACTGTAAAGATCTAACTTTTGCGCATCCACTGTTTACGCCTTCGTGTTCACGCATGAATTCACCTGTCAATCAAACTAATCGTTTTTTAATGGTTTCCTTTCTGATTCTGTTGAGATCACTTCGTGTCAATATACCAAAACAATTATTCACCTCAGGCTCAGTTAATATTGTTGAATAATCCCCTCGACTTCGTCTCGGGGATTATTCAACAATATTACCTTCGCCTTCGGCGAATAATTGTTAAATACGATATATTTATATTTAGTATATAGTAAAACAGTGGATAGTGGTTTTCGCGCGCTCTGATTGGCTGCTTAAACTCGGGATATCCAGTGGTATTCACTTTACAGCGGCGCCAAAATTGGGTAGGTTACGAGCAAAATGGCTTCCCGGTTTGCTGCTGTAACAAACGAAGAAACTTCACAAATAATCGAAAAAACTCTTCCCGAAATACACGACGAAGGCAACGAAATTTGGTTTGGAAGTTTTTACGGGTAAAGCTTCGTCTAACATAAATTTTTCGTCGCTTCACGTCACGGTAAAAGTCCACCACCACTACGGTGAATAATTGCTATTTATCTGTGCCTGACCGCCTCGATTAGTGTTAATGCTACTTTGCAGGCCAGCACTATCTTACATATTGTGTGTAGGAAATAAAGGTTTGTTGATCACCTTCCGCGGAGTCTGGCACAACTTGTCCGCTGACATTAGTTCCTTCAAGCGCGCGCTTCTTCTCATACTCTTCTTCGTTTCTCTGTTTCTGTTTCATGATCTTTACTGCAGTCTCAGCCTCCAACAGCGCGCAGTGTAGAATGTCGAAAACCATACGCTCTGTTTCTGGATTGCGTTTACTGTTGTCTTTACAGTAGTTAGTCACGAAAAAAGTGTCACTGGGTAAACTGCCAGTAGCCGCTGAAGCTGCGTAAAGTACGTTTTCACATTCCTCTTCTGTCGTCAGTGTGTCACGGTGCGTAACAACAGTGATGGGTGCGATTCCTTTTGTGGGAGCAAAAAAAAAAGAATACATTGGTAAAGGTTGTGAAAGGAGACAAAACAGAACTAAAAACGGATTAAACAATAAAATAGGTCTCTCAAAACAGACACTGAAATGATTTTTGCGGGTCTATCAGTCTCCCTAGTCTAATAGTTTTTTTTTACTTTGAAGAGTTTCTTTTTTAAGCTTTAGAGCCCTGTGCTTATCTCTTGGTCACACATTTTAAAAATAGCTGTAACGATCTCAAACGCAATATGAAACTGAATCAGTCATTCTCCCAACTATTTCTATGCCCCGCATTAACAAAACGCCACCGTTTAATATCAAGTAACATTTTGTAAGCCGAGGTCAGCGACAGGGCCGTTTTGTATGCTAAATTGTTAACTCTTGCTGATAATTCTTTTCCAATTTGGGCGAAATTAATTGCATGAAAAAACGCCAACTTTAATGCAAAGCCCTTTGTGTCACGGTCTCGTTGTGTTTTCGCTCCTCGTAATGTGATAGAGTTGACTTGAGCCTAATTTTTCTTAAATCGAGAAGTACTACTGACTGTACAGTAACAGAACATTGAAGCTTAAGTTTCAAGATCTTTCAAGTTACCCTGTGATGCAGAGGGAGTTAATCTACCAAAGAGTGCAATCTGATTGGTGTAGCACGTGATGCGCTCTACATGTCTGACCATATTTCCAAAAACACCGAATACTTCAAGAAAAACTTCTCTCTTATCGAGGTGCTAAGCTACGGAATACTCTTCCAACAGTTACTATAATTAAAGCTAAACCATTTCTCGAGGTTTATTATGGAATCTTTGCGCAACCTCGATCTCCAGGGTACTTTTTTTAGTTTTGTATATCTGTAATTGAATATGTAATTTTTGTCATATTATATATTTTGATTTTTTATTGCATGCACGGCTTTATTGGAAACCAATTCTTTGTAACTCCGTGTTGAGAACTGAAAAGTCCCCGTCAGTCTGATTGTCGGTCTCTGTCTGCATAGGAGTTCTATTGATTATCATTACTAGCAAACACTTAACCAGTTCTACGCAGAATATCTCGAACTGGTTTTAGGTAATCCTTCAAGGCTCCCTCCCTCAGTCGCGGGTCATTCGCCATGGTAACAATGATGACACCATGCAGACGGTTGGCAAATTTGGGACACGGGTGAAGGTCCATAGCTGGAACATCTTCTTGGTCTTCTCTAGGACGGACCAAATTGTCCCCGGGTTGTATCTTTCCGTCCAAGATGTTCTTAAATTCCACAGTTTCGTTAGCGTTGTAGTTGAAGAAACCACGTGTATCAACCAAGTGGAAGAATAACTCAGGGAGATAATCTTGAAGAGTTATGGTTCCTTCTTGACCTGTGGTGCTGTCAGGAGCTGTGCCTTTATCTGTCTGCCTCACAGCTCGTTCACACGTGTTGATAAAGCAGCTCTTGCCAGATCCAGTAGGACCGAACACACCGATTCTGAGTTGTGTTACATCATCTATTGCCAGGCCTTTGAAACTATCCAGTTTGATCTTGTTCCCAAATTTGTAATCAAACAGCGCAGCTCGACGGAGGCACAGTTCGTTTTCCAAACGCAGGCGCCTTTCTTCCTCCTCTCTCTTCCTCGCTTCTTCTTGTTTTATCTCACGTTGCCCCTGTTGTTGATACTTCACTGGCCTTCTCTCTTCTTCTCGTCTTTTTTCCAGCAGTATGCGCAGCCTTTTTTCAGCCTCCCTTTGTCTCCGTTCATTTTCCAGCCTTCTCTGTTCCAACTGCCTTGCTTCCTCTCTTCCAGCCTCCGTGTTGTCCACGTAAGTATACTGCGTTTCATGGCTATTACTACCCTGAATTAAAGCAGAAAAAAAAAAGAAAATGGTTTTTAATTTTTTAACCTGCATCAAGCAGTCTGACCACCTATTACAGGTTTGAACGGCTGTTTAAATAAGCAGGAAAAAAAGATAGTGTTAAATGATACTTTTCTAGTTAGAACCATTTTACAAAATAAAAACAAGGAGGTGTGCATGTTAAAGTATGACGATCGAGGACGCTTCTATATCTCAAACGAAAAGTTTTTACTATTCTCTGTTTTACACTGCTTCTGACGCTCGCAACAATTAGAGCGTATCAGAGTAAATCATTTTACCATTTAGGTTGTGAGCGTGAGATTTTATTATTAAGTCAATGCTTCGTCAGCTTCTTGACTGAGTTATAATTCGTTGATTTTGAGTAGGACAATGCAATCCTAATTCCCCTGTCTGGTGTTCGCTGGAGTCCGGAAAAGTTTATCAATCATCAATCTCCGCCGCATGGATAACTTTAACCAAACGTAAAAAAAAGTCCTTATCATCCTTTCTCAAAACCTTTTTAATACGACCGCACCCCTTCTCCTTCTGCTGTCGCGGTTGCAAAAAATGGATTTTTATACTGTAAATCTATAAAGCTAAGTCATGAAACTGATAACCTGTGCCAGGTTCCGAGATAGTCGGGTCCACTGAATTAAGAAAGCGTAAACACGAAAATAACACGCATGCCTTTTTCTTTCGCGTCTTCCCCACTATCTGAGAGCCTGGAACAGGTTATGAAACTGAAATTAAGCAAGCCCGGAAGTGACCGCGAAGGACCGGAAGTATTTGCGTGGTCTTTTTTGATAACCCCACAACTGCAAGGTACGCTGGAAACTTTCATTATCCTTTAAGAAAAACAACGTAGTGAACAGTCATCCCTTGACCCTAATCCTCTTAATTTCACGCTCAAAAATGAAAGTAAAGTCCGGAATTGGATTACAGTTATTGGCATGAGCAGTACAACTTCTTTGATTCTCAATATTTGACTCATTTTTATAGGTGTTCAAAGTTATTAAAAGGTAACTGCAGGACTCCAGCCCCTCCCCTGCTACTTTCATTCGAAAGTGAAAGTGAAGCCCGAAGGCGCTTCTCTTAGGCAAAACTGATCCTCAACCCTCCCAAGTAGATTTGAAAGTGAAAGCCGGAAGCGAGCCGGTCAATGATAATTTCCCTGCCCTCGAGAACTAGCGAATCGAGATACTCTGCAAAGAATAACTACTCGAATTCATCAACTGCGTATCTTTCTATTTAAATTCTTACATTGAGCAAAAACCTGTGAAAATGAAAGAAAAGAGACAAAAGCAACGAACTGAGCTCGTGCGCTTGTACGGCGTACCTTCCCGAAAAACATACCCTGGCTGGCCGCACGTCCCCATTAAGCCCTTGTAAGGGAGTACCCCCCCGGGGAAAACATTGAACACTTGGTGTGTGATGGAACTTCAAATGGCCCAAAAGTATCACGGCAAGTTCAAAGTGTCACGGCAATTTCAATTTACTCACGGCAATCTCAATTTACTTACGGCTATTTCAATTTACTTACGGCAATTTCAATTTTACTCAAGGCAATTTCAATTTACTCACGGCAATTTCAATTTACTTACTGCGACCACTTACGGCAACAATTTTACTCGCGGCAATTTCAATTTGTTGACGTTAATTTCAATTTTATACTCACGGCAATTTCACTGAGTATCAGAAAAATTCTCTACATGAAAATAACAATAACAATAACAATAAGCCTTAGTACACTCAAGAGAAAGCTGAAACAGTAAAAGTTACACCGAAATAAGGTGGACTTTGATCCCGCAAACTGTTGGCTACCGCAGCGCTAACGTTTGGCATGCTCTCCAGCAGAAGGGAATAAGAGTATCCAGAAGCATTAAGCAGAAGAAATTGTTCGTGAACCAGACCTCGATGGCGTTGAAGCGAGAAAAACACAAAACTAACACACAGGCGGGAGTATACCTGCTCAGGCCCAGTAAGGTTTGGCATGCAAACGGTTATAATTATAAGAGAAAGCCGTTCGGATTTCCCATACATGTTTGTACAGTTGGGTCAGTGAACGGGAAAGTACTTTGGCCGTATGTCATGCGTTCTAACAACCTACCTGACAACATAGCTGCGTCTTATCTGGATGCTGTTCGAGAGCACGGAGGATGCCCCCTTGAATTATATACCGACTTGGGCACAGAAAATGGAATTATGGTTGGTACTCTTTTTTTAATAGCTGTGCGTAAAATTGAAACTGCCGTGAGTAAATTGAAATTGCCGTGAACAAATTGAAATTGCCGTAAGTAAATTGACTGTTGCCGTAAGTAAATTGAAATTGCTGTGAGTAAATTGAAATTGCCGTGACACTTTTGGGCCAACGTAGAATTTATCCAGGATTAAATCCAATCCAGTATGAAACCAGTGAGCTGAGTATGGAAAGAACTTGCTTACTTTCGACTTCGTTTTTGCACTGACTCCGCTACGAGTCCTTGCGGCCTGAGTCCGGCCTCTTCGGTTTCAACTGGGTCGATGTTTTGCGATGGTATTAAAAATGAAAACTACGAGCTGTATTAGTAGCCAGAAATAAATGCCGACGGTAACGGCGACTCGTACCTAGAGAAGTTCATGAAGCTGAAAAGAAACCATTCAAAGGGCTAAATAGCCTGCGTAGCTGGCGGTATTGTGTAGTAGTCGAGTGAGATTTGGCGGCGGAGCCGTTGTAATATAGTCGAGTATTTCAACCGCCTCGTCCCTACTCCCTTGTTTTGGAACACGGCTCCGCCGCCAAAACTTTAATCTCGCACCCACATA